GGGCAGCACGGGACACTAGTGTAACTTGGTCCAGCGCAAGGTGGAGAGGAAACACATGGGCCACATGATGGCAGCATACAGGTCTTCCCCGGCGCGAAAGAAGGTACGGTCACGGCGTATGGTGAGCAATAAGTAGGACGATTTTGTGGTGGGCACGTTGGTGGGCACGACATTATATTTTATTAATTTTTGACTACTTGCGATTAATTTATTTCTTTCTTTTTTTTGTATTTACCACAATTTTGTTCAATAAAAACTGAAATTTTGAATTATTTGCTGCCGAAATCTTGTTGTGCCAAAAAAACGATGTTTATAGTTTGACTCGTTTGACTGATTTTGATAAACTAAATTTGTTTTTGTTTAGTTGTCAGTGAGGTTGAAAAGCGATGTGGAGCAAACATATTAAATTTATGAAAGTACAACATAAATACGCAAAAATAAAATTAATTAACAACAATGTTTGATTAATAAAATACCGTTCGAAAAGTGTTATATTTCTTCTTGTCTGCTAAAATTACATTCAAAATGGATGTACTGTATGTATCAATGGATTCAGAAAAAAAAATCTCTACCCAATGACGCAACAAGAAATATACCGAGCAATTTGAAAAACAAAAGTTGTCAATCGCTGGAAATTAAAGATGACGTTGAAAAAATGTATTTGTACCATGAAACATAGTATTCATTAAACGATTTCATTTGATATCTGGCTCATAAAAATTGAAATGTAAATGACAGAGTTATAGCTTGGGGCGTTTTTTAACTGACACCCTGTATATGATTTAGTGTAGAACTAATAACAGTTCTACACTTGATCATTATGAAGAAACAACTGGTTGTATTTCGGAATGAAATGTTTGAAAGAGGAACAACTTGTTTTGTTGAGCTGGTATTATGATGTTATGTCTTTTAAATACATGTAAAGAGGTTTATGTTGCAATTGAATTTGTTCATTAAGTAATTTGTGTTTGTTTTTAACTTTATGCTTGTGAATTTCCAATGATTCCAATAAATCAAGCTTAAAGTCTCTTTCGCATTTATGAATGAGATTCAAATTTTCATAATCTATTTTATGTTTTGTTTCTGCTACATGTTTATAAACGTTTGAGCTTTCTTTAGTTTTATGTTCTTGAATTCGCTTTTCAAGCTTTCTTCCTGTTTGTCCAACATAATACATTCACACTCAGAACATGCAATAGAGTAGACCCCACTTTCCTTCAATTTATCGTTGTTTTTATTACGATAGTTGGAAAAGATTCGAAGTAAATTGTTGTTGTTGGAGAATGCCAATGAAATGTTATACTTTGAGAAGATTGAACTTGATTTAAAAGTGATAAATCCACCTCTTGGAATATGAGTGTGAAAATTTCCCAAAGTGTTAATAAGAGTGTCCTCTTTCCAATGAACCAATACGTTTTGAAAAATAACTTTTAGTTTTTGAGAAAACAATATTTGAAGTTTTGATAACATTTTCGATGTTGCAATTTTTATCGATAATGTTCAAAATTCGCTATAATATTAATTTCTTGAAGGATCCTTGTGGAAATATCACCAATTATTAATTAAAGTATCCTCCTTTTAATGCAAAAAGCCGTTTTGAAAAATCACTTTTAGTTCTTGAGAAATAAATTTTTGAAAT